GTTTTTAGTTCAATATTTAGCTTGTACAATTACCCATTCTAGAGACCTCTGGTACGTTTGCCATGCCAGAGAGTTTACACAGGTAGAGGTTTGTTGTGCTTTTCTTGAGCTGAAAAATTTATCCGTTCTACTACCTCTCATCATGCTGCTTAGTGCAGGTCAGTTATATTACCACAGACTGAGGAATTCTCCCTGAACCACAGTTATTATTTAAGTAGGAGAAATATACACTTTCCATACAATTTAAGTGGGAAAAAGTTGTTATGTAACATGTAAATTATGTTACATAACATTATGTAAATTATGTTACATAAAATTATGTAAATTATGAATAGGACCAAACCAGTGAAAAATATTTCACTGATTTTCAGTGGATCAATGTTCTAACTCTTCTGAACAACAACCCTGGCCATCAGACGAAATGGTATTAAGATGGATATAAAACTCAATATTAAAGATATTGCCCTAACATTATAGAACGGTCTCTTGAAAGTTTATGTTATTAAAAACACAAAAATAGATTTCAGCTGCAAGATGCAAAGCAGTAGCTTTGCTTGAACTGGCTGTCTGAGAGCTGAGGGAGTTGGAAGACCTGAGGGAAATACAGTGGCAACAAGATACGACATTCTAGATCATACTGACAAATTACTCTACTGAGAGGTCTTCAAGAACTCCAATGCAAATTTGGTGATCTATACCTGGTCACCAAGACAGACCTCTTGAAGCACCTAGTGTAACCTGAACTTTTAGAAAGGATCCAGGAAAATAAAAGCAAGGTTAGACCAGAGAAAAGCTAGGCTAAAGATAAAATGATCAGCAAACCGAATAACTAATCCTGCTAAAGAATCAACATTCTACAAAGCTGTCTTGCCTCACTAACCTTTCAGTTTTTAAGATGTAACAAGCATGTGAATGGGAGACAGTGTAAATCTGAATTTTCAAAATCTTTTGACAAAGACCTTCCAATCTTCTACATAAACTGAAAAACCAGTGGCTAAAAAGACAGACCCCCCCCCCCTTTATGGATCAGTAATTGGTTAAAGAAAAGGAAACAGAGTAGGAATTAACACAGTTCTCCCAATGGCTGGTTTTAAGAAGTTGGTCCTGTAGTGAGATTGTTTTTTTTCTCATTTATTCATTTCTCATATATTCATTTAATATAAATAAATATAGGTTGCAATGAGATAGCCACATTTGCAGATGATTCCAGATTATTAATCATGGTAAAAATAAAAAAATCACATGTCCAGAATAATCTGTCCAAACTAGGTGGGTGGAAAACAAAATGGCAAATGAAATTCCATGCAAGTGTAAATTCATGCATACTGAGGCCAAAAAATAAAATAAAAATCCACATTTCACCAGCTGGGTATTGGTTGGTGGTAAATGACTCAGAAAGTGTGAACAGTTCAGTAAAAATGTCAAGCTATCACACAGCAACTGAAATCAAATCTACAGACCAAAAATAAAGTTGCCAATACAGTTTATACAAATTATGGTACAACTACTCCTGGAATACTGAATTCCTTTCTGAACCTGAAAGTAGATATTGTACAACTGGAAAAGGTTCAGAGGATGGCTACCAAAATAATCAGCAACCTGGAGAAATTCCCCAGTAAGGAACAGTTATATCTGGGTCTGTTCAGCTTATGGAAAAGATGAGGAAGAGGAGACACTGGATATGTGACATTATATATATTTTGGGGAAAGGGTTAAGATTTTTTCCCTTCTCATATAAAACTTGTGGGAGATTCAAAATTAAAATATTTCTTATAGCTGACTGGTAAACTAAGTAATATACCACCACAGGATTCAGTGATGGGCAACATCTTAAGTAGCTTTAAAATGAATCATATCCTCCCCATTTCCATACCACCTGCAGTATTAGAGGCTCCATGAGTCTGCATACCAGCCCTAGGAAACAGTGCAAGAAGGCTATATTGCCATGGGTATCTAGCTGGCCATGTGGCACACAGACTGCTAAAGCAGAGTTACCATCTGATCCCACAGGATTCTTATATCTAGAGATTATTTTTAGAAATTCAAATGCCTTAACAAGACATCATTCAGGCTTTCCTTCATCTACTAAAGAAAACGGAACTCAAATGCAATCCTGTCAGCAAAGCCTTTTATTTTGAATAATTTTCTTACATCTAAAAAAGGAGTAGTAAGAGAAGGTAAATAAATTGCTAATTTCAGTTACTAACTGTTTAAGAGAAAATTCTAACTGCACAAGTAGTTATAGTCAAAACATTTTATTACAAGTAGTCTAACATTTTATTACAAGTAGTCTCAAGTATACCTCCTTTATTAAAAAGTCCCTTCATCAGTTTTGTTCCTTCTCCAAAGCTGGTGAGAAAAGGAATCAATCAATTGCTAAAGGCTCATTTCTATTCCAAGAAGCATTCACGGAACAGGTGTAGATGTTAACAGACCATTCCTAGAACATTTACTTAGAGACTAGCCCAGTAGTTTCAAATGCACATGTTTATGACTGCATCCTCAGTTCCTTTAATTTAACTTCGCAGATTTGTTTTGATAAGACCTTTCCACTTTCATCTAGAAATTTCAGGCAATAAACCTACAACAACTCACTGCAGAGGATGCAGAAAGATTGCCTCTAGAGAGGAAGGGGCATCCTGGTGTAACCCTTACAAAGTATTTTATTTTGTATTTTATTACTGTAACCCACCCAGGGAGCTGTATGGCTAATGGGGCAGGCTAGAAATTAAATAAATAAATAAATGGTCTTCTACACCTGTCTCTGATAGACTACAGCATCACAGCCCATGGATGGCAACATCATTAGCAGGACACAGCTGAATATACACAGACTGATTAAAAAACTAAACATTATCCAAAATATTTATTTGATGCATGTGCTAGCTGACATTATTAAAATTTCAAAATTGAAAAGTGGAGTGCTGTGACAATCTTTGTATGATCTCTTTTGAAAGTAATGGAGAAAATGTGGAGACAAACCCTGTTGCTCAAACTGTTACTTTAATTAAAGACTACACTTTTGCATGAGGTTTCTTTTCTATAGGCCAGACATTGTGAGAAACGTCTGCTCCAGCACTAGTGGTAATGATGCCATGTTTCCAGAAACCAGTGCCTGTGGATGCAGTTCTTTGACTGTTCATTTGTGCACTCACACACCTGCGCATTTACTGTTTCCGAGCCTTGTACTTAGTCTCTTCTGGCGCCAGCATTGATCTTGACACTGGCACTGAAGAGGGGGCAGTATATGGATTGTGTGAATGCACAGATTACTATTCAAAGAATTGTGGTTACTTGTAAGCTAGTTGTCTTTCTTCCTTGTGGTCTCTGTGCATCATACATATCGGTAAGTAGTCAGCTGACCTCCCAGAGGTGGGTTGGTGTCATCATTTCAGGAGGAGGAGAGCCCTTGTTCTAGCACAGGAACAGTCGGCCCAGGAATGGATATCCAGTAAACATGGACACTTTCAGCAATTGTGCTGCCTGGCTCAGTTTTAATAGGCAAACACCCACCCAAATGCTACTAAGGTTGATATGCCAGGGTAACAGTCTGAACAACTCAGGGAGTCTTTTGCTCTTACTCCAGGGGACAAGAAAAACCCTGGCAATTTATGGATGTGCTCTGCCTGAGACTTATAGAATGCCAGTGCCTATCTCACATCAAAGGCATGCAAAGTAGATTCCAACAAAGACAGAGAATGTGAAAAGGGGAGGTAATATTACATCCTGGTTAATATGAAAGCCTGAGACTATTTTCAGAAGAAAAATATCAGGACAGAGCACTACCTTACCTTCATGAAAACCCATATATGGGAGACTGCTCTAAGGTCACTTAACTTGCTAGCTCAGTGAGCCAATGTAAGAGCTATGAGAAATGCCACCTTTTAAGATAAGAGGAGATTGACAAGGGCCAGTAACTCAGATGTTTTTGCAAATGCATGAAAAATTATGGACGAGGTCCACTGTGTTCCTGGGGACTACACTGATGATACAAGTTTCCAGAGTCACCAACTAAAGTAGTGAACTAATGGCATGAGAAAACAGAAATATTGTAATTTGAAGCTGAAATTGCTGTGAGGTACACATGGAGGGATGAAAGCTTAAGTTTTTGCTTGAAAAGGGTCAGCAGAAAATAAAGGGAGATGGTGGATTGAGCATAGGAAAGGCTAATAACCAGTCACAATGGCAAACAAAGAGAAAGATTTCCATTTCTTATTGTAAGAAAGCCTAGTGACTGGTTTTCTCATTGCCTCAAGAATGGAACAAAAGCCCAAGATAAAGCTGTAAAGGCAGCAAACGTTATGCATCCTCCAGCTTCAGTATCAACAGGTCGAAAGGTTGAATCCTGCCTCAATCTTGAGACAGCTTTGATGACAAGTGTAAACATTCATTTCTGGAGATGCAACAGAGTTGGGTAAACCATACTTGGCTTGGCCACCAAGGGGTGATAGAGATTACTGCCCATGCTATCTATCTGCACCTCAGTCAATACCTCTGCAATCCATGGAAATTTCCTCCCTGTCCAACAAAGCAGGAAAGCAACTCTCACTGTATTCAGAAAGGTTTCCACTGTTTGAAAATCCGCTTGGAAAAGTAATCACCTTTTGTCAGATGAAATTGCAACTCATGTGCATCAGGAAAGAGCAACTCAGTTTGCGCACAAGTGTATTGTTTATCTCAGAAATATTAATCATAATCAAAAGGATTTTCCTCAAAGATGCACAAATGAAGTAATTGGGTCACTAGTTGGTCAAGAAGGATTAAGTTTGTACCAGCTTATTCGTTCAGCTAATACATAATGGTATTTGTTACCACCTGAATGTGCTGACAGAGGACTGTGATTTTGAACACCAAATGGCCTTTAGGACAGCCTGCAGTTCAAAGCAGACTTTAACATTTCAATGTACATTTTGTACTACTAAGTAAATGTTCAGTTGCTACAACATAAACATATAAAATAGGTTAACTTTGACCATGAAAAGGATATGAATTTCTCTTACCTTCTGGAGCATCTGCATCACAGACTTTGGACAGATTTATGGTCACATTTGTCAAATGTCCATCAAGTGTCACATTACTCTGCATGAAGAAGATAGATTAGTTGAAGATGATTTCATATGACAAATCACCAGTTCTATATACACATCATTTATTTTAGTTGAGTACAACAGCCCACAAGAAAATGCTTCTCAAATTTGCTTGTGAAAGAGGTCTTTGGTTTATGATTACATTATATTACTATCCACCTTTCTTTCTCTTGCAAGGAATTCTAGGCTACTTAAAATATTCTACTCCCCTCCCCACATTTTTATTCTAACAACAATCCTAAGAGGTAGGATAGGCTGAGAGTCATCAAGTGGCCCAAAGTCACACCCTGAGCTTTATGGCCTAGTAGAGACTAGCACCCACATCTCCCACGCTCCATTCCAACACTCTTAACCAGTACACCACACTGGAATGTGTGTACTATTAGAAGAACTATTAGAAGGAATATGATAGTTATATTTCAGATTGTCAACACAGCACATTACTATCAGAAGGGAAACAATTCTGTGAATAATTTGTTGGCTATGTCTTGATTAACCTTCAGAGAGTACCCTGAGTATACCCATCTGATATGGAAAGCAAATGTAGTCTAAGAAAGACATGCAAATAAAATACCTGATGGAAATTCAGCATGATGCTGTAACAACTCACAATGTAAAGTTCAAACACCTATATAAATGGTATACTTTTAAAGGTATTTTGTCATTTATGTACATATACCACTTACATAAGAAGAACAAGTACAAGAATAATGAATTATTATCGGTAGCAACCAACTCAGATTTTGCAACAATACGCATGCTGCCAGAGCTCTCTATGGACAATGGGCAATCACTGCTGCAGAAGCAGGACAGAACATGTGCATGAAGCAGACTGTTTCCTGTATCAGCTGCAGAGATGACTCCCGCAACACCTCTGGTGTCACCAACAGCTGGCCCTGCAAGTTCTAAAGCTGTCCCTCCTGACATCTCAGACAAGCTGGTTATGTGCCTAGACGACACCCAGTGTTACCAAGCTCCATTAGGAAGAAATATTTTTTGAGATGTTCACACTGAAATGACAACTTTAATTTTGAAAAATTCAGCTTTGCTAGATCGCAAGGTGTGTGTGTGTGTGGGGGGGGGGGGTCATACCTGATAGAAAATGTCTCAAAAATTTGGTTTGTAAACTGTTTCATTAACCCGCAGGGCATTTTGTCCCATGGCATCCTTGTGGTAAACTTAAGCAAAGTGAATAATTCATTATGATTTCCCATCCTCTATGCTTCTGTCTTGCATAAAACATAAATAACTGGTTCTTGGCTAGGTATTTACGAACATCAGAAACCAGTAACTTAACACCATTTTGGCAGGGCCCTATCAGGTTATGTGGGTGGTGTTTCAGTGGCTGCAGTCATTCCAAGAGGAGGTAATTCCTGGTCCTTATGTTCATAGATGATCTTATTTCAAAGTAAACAGACAAAGCCTAGTGAGATTCAGGAAGCGACAAGGGATGGACAAACAGGATTAACCTGTGTTTAGGGCAAAGCTTATTGCCTATTCCCATGACCAGCAGAAACAGATCAAACTATGCAAAACAAATTCCAGAAAGATACACTGACTCAAAGTATTTCAGCTTATTCGTTGTACAAGCCATAGAACCCAGTTTTCCTTGGAAAGGAATTTAGATGCCTTATTGCAGAATTCTGATTTTAAGTTCTGTGTAAATACTGCTATAGATTTCCAGTCAACCGTGCCATTGCTCCATTTGCTATTTGCAGCACAGTATTAACATAAAGAAACCTGAGGAATAGTAGTCATGGCCCAGATTTGGTATGGACAAAGCTTATAGTTCAAGTCAATGAACTACATTACAAAATCTCTGGAAGCAAGCTGAGCAACAGAAGGGTTGAGCTGGACCCGTGCTGAAGCTGTCCAACTCTTTCAGCCTGGCCCATCCCAACTTCTGTGTGGAGCCCTCCAGCTGAGGCATCCCACAGGCAAATTGGGGATATCCTTCTGCGTGTCTGTGGCTGGGTAGCTGTTGAACTAAAATAATTCACAGTTGGATAATGGATGCATTACTTGATCCAAAGATCCTCTAAAAACATGGGAATATTTACATTTCAAAATGCATCACATTTTACATCCCATTTCCCCATACAAGAGAAATCTTACCGGAGCAAGATACTTTTGGCTTCCATACATAACATACTGAGGGGCCAAACTGTAGATCATGTAGCTGGTATGAAGAACTATCAATAGAAGTATCATGCAGAGAAAGAGAAGTGCTTGTGGACGTGTCCTCCCCCTTCTGATCTTGTACAGCTTAAAATAAAAATATTGTGTCATGAACCAGATTTGAGATAAAAAATGTGACTCTACCAAAACACGCCTTTGACAATTCTTTACTTAAAATATTTCTTTGCCACTTGTCCAAGGCTCAAGGGAGCTTGCAATCCTTTAAGAACATACATGCTGTTCCCGGAACATTTATTATCTTCACATTATAAACCAACAATTTCCCTACGTTTTATTTGCCTTAATGTGCAATTTTATTGTTACTATTTGTTATTTATCTAGTATTATATCTAGTACTATAGGAGGCTACCTCATACCAGGTAGTCCATCAAGGCAGCAACTCTCAAAGCATCTTAGATAGGTATTTTCCCATTTCCTGCTGATAATTCTTCAGCTGAAATGTCAGGAATTGAATCTGGTCCCTCAACAACCCAGAATGCCAAGTTCAAAAATAAAGCCAAATAACCTAGAATGGGGTGTCTCTAGGTTGTTTTCTAAGCTAGATGCAAAGTGGAAATGGCAAGCAGTGAATCAGAATAACCCATAGGTTGAACCACATCATTCTCACTCCACACAGACCTATGCCAATGTACTTGTTGCATATCAACCAAGTGTCTCATGTGGGTGAAAGATGCATAAACAGGACAATTCAATACAGGCTCTACGTCGGGTCTAAAGCTGTTTATTAGGCTGATCTTAACTGACAATGAGAACCCTCCCCCCCCCCGCCAACAAACAGATACAGTTCATCTATGCATGGCTGGATGAAGGGAACAGGTAATCAGCACCCATGTCTGCCTTAAGAAGAGTTGATAATGAAGTTATTATCTTTTTCCTGCTAGACTGATTTGTGCGTCTGAAGGGCTACAAGATGAAATGCAGCTAGAAGGATGGCCTCATAAGAAACTACTTCTTGAAAGCTAAAATGTCACTCTTGGCAGGCTCAGGTGTCTTGACAGGGGTTAGGAGAGAAAACTGTAGCAGGGATGAATGAGATGCTTTTCAGCTTGATATGTTATGAATGGAGATGGACTCCAATAAAGAATTAGCCTGAACAGTTCTGCTCTTATTTTCTGTGAAGGAGGTAGACTCACAGAGCTAGCTCAAAGGGACCCCAAATGCCATTTAATCCAACATTCTGACAATGCAGAAAATCCATTACTCAAGCATCTCTGTTAGGTGACTATTCAGTGCACATTCAAAGGCCTCTAATGCAGAAAAGTTTATTAAAGGCAGCCAGTTCCATTGTCAAATTATTCATACATCAAGGAGATCTTCATAATATGAATAGAAGAATCTCTTCCTTCTGATTTAAACCCATTGCTTCAGACCCTAATCTCTAGGAACAAGAGAAAACAAACTTGCTATATTATTCATATGACAGCCCTTCAAATGTTATAACATGGCTGTCATATTATCTCCTAATCATCTCTTCTCTACTCCTTCCATCACGTTTCATTGGACATGATGTTGAGGCCCTTCACTAAGTCTGCCATACTTCTTTAGACATGCATCTCTCTGAAGGCAGGGAGGGAAGAGACCTGATTCAACAGGTATTCTGGAAGGGAGTTCCAGGCAAAAGGACAGAAAAAGAAACTGGTAAGAGTCATTTCATGAAACAGGAGACTTCTGTGTCTAAAGACAATAGAATTAGATGAGCAAACATATCATCATTTCTACATGCTATAAACCTAGGCAGCCAATGTCCCTTAACAATGGACCCAACCTTGTTGGGTTGATATACAGGAAAGTAATTTTCTTGGCTAGCAAGGATCAAATATGTAGTTGTCTGATTAACTTACATGCAATACATAGCTCTCTGTTTGTTTATGTATTTTCTCTATTTTATATACATTTATTAAAAAAATAAAAATAGAAGTATTTGAGAAGTAGGCTGAGTTGCTTAGATGAAGGGCAAGGTACAGTCATAATGCATATTTACCCTTATCCAAAAGAACCATATACCCATATTTCGAATTCCTGCCATTGAGGTAAAGATGAAGTACATGATGATGATGCTAATGAGGATATAATCAAGAGGGAAGACCTAGAAGGCAAAAATAGTTGTTATACTCAATTACCTAAAAAGTTGCTCCCTATATTTTTTCCTGAAAAAATAGCAAGATCTTAAAATGGCCATTGATCATTATAAACATTTTGCTTTCACTGCACTTGAAACGAACAAAGGAAAAACAGCAATATCATAGTATGTCTTATTTTTAAAAAGTCTGCCCAACCAAGAGGACAAACATCCTTTAGAGAATTGGTGGATACTTTCAGAAAGCAGTTTGAAAGTAAGGCAGTATACTTCAGAAATATTTTGGACAGTGCTACAAAGCTTCCGGAGAGCCACTTGATTAAACTTGGTTTAGCTAGATTGCCAAGTTTCAGTAGTTTTATAGAAATTCCATCAAGATTTTGAAGTAAGTATATTTCAATATAAAGCTCTTAACATAGCTCACAACAGTAAAAGCAGTAACAAAGTAAAAGTTTTGAGTCTACATTCAACAAAAATGAGCCACAAGACAGTGTCAAAAAGAAGTAGTATGTTATCCATATAGTTTAGAAGAATAAAACTTAAGCATGTTACTAAAATGACAGAGTGAATGTGCCTTGAAGAGGGTTCTTCACATGAGGAGCACCATTACAAAAGAAGACTTCCCCTGATTACCACTCCCCTAATGTCTGAAGATGGGGCACCTGCAGGATATCCAATTGACTCCTCAGGGAATTGGAAAATAGGTCAACATAGAATATTTGCTACTTCAAATTACCATGGAGGAGCAACCCATTGCAAAATGGATTTGCAAAACAGTTTGACTGCTTGCCTAATCATTTCAAATATCTGTCAGAACATTTGGTACAAGGCTACTGTACTTAGGAGAACCAGTAAACCTTTGCAGACACTAGTTTACTCTGATCTGAGATTAAGCTAGACTTAATATCATAAGGCAAAAACAAACAAACAAACAAACCTCTAACCAGAATGTCCATAATCTACAAGTTGTCAAATTGCCATTGCTTCAAGTTGCCTTCATGGTCAAGCTGACTTGTTTCAAATGAACATACTTAACATTACTTATTTACTACTTAAAATGTTATATCCCACCCCATTCCCATAGACTCTGGGCAGTTTACAAGAGATTAAAACCAACAATGATTAATGTTTAACAAAAAGCAAGCATATTAAATAAAATTAATCTGGGAATGCCTCTCAGAAAAGATACATTTTTAACGCCCTCTTGAAAGCAACTATCTGGGATGCATTTCTCCCAGACCATTCCAAGCTTAGAAGCAACTACTGAGATAGTCTCTAGGTAGTGGAGATTAATCTGATAGAAACAAGCTTCAGAGGATTATCCCCAGACAACCTTAGCAGGTGAGGCAGAATGTATAGGCGAAGGTGCCCCCAACGGTATTTGGACCCAAGCCATGAAAGACTTTAAAGGTAAGTGCCAGCACCTTGTACTATATCCAGAAATTTACTGGCAGTCAGTGCAAAAACTTTAATATTGGTGATATGTGGTCTTTCCATGATGTTCCAGAGACCAACGTGGCTGCCGTATTTTGTACTAGTTGCAATGTCCAGAATAAGCCCACAACATTGCTTGTCGGGTTAAATCTAACACTTAGTAACATGTCTAAACATGACCAGATTTTTGTTTACTGAATTTATCAGAAGATCCAGTTAGGTTTTAAACCATGTAAAAATCATTTCCCCAAAGCAACCCATTCATTTAAGGGGATTAATTGTTACACAAGACTATTAGAGCATCTATTTTTCTTTTAATTAGAACCTCTCATTAAATCTTCAAGTAAGAAAAATAGGACTTATATTTTCAAGAACCTCCATGAGGTCCTTGTGCTGACAGAATTACACCTATCAGTAGAACTGGGCAGGAGGGCGATCCCACATATATCTTGCCACATAGAGCCTTGTGCACTCTCAAAATCTGCCCTAGAGGTTCGGAAACTTTCCAAAATAGATACTGGTGTGGCTGCAGGGGTGGGGATGTAGCTGCAGGGGGAAGACAGCAGGAGAATTCTGCTCCTGCAATATTGGATTCTGCCCAATGTTTCTAAATAGGTGAATTCTGGTCATGCTATAACTAACAAAAACATTTTTCCCTAATATGTTATTAACAAAATCCACTACTTTATTTACTAAGACCTCAATATTTCCATTTCCTATAAGAGCAATGTTCCAAATTATGCTCGCTAGTATATAGTCAGCATACATCACTGACCAATAGTTGTTTAGTATGAATTTAAGGGCCATATTAGCATTGGTTTAAAAAATTCAGAAGTTTTGTTGCAGACTTCAAGTCCTTTAATACCCCATGAAAGCACATTAACATTTCCCTGTAAAAGTATTCACCAATATGTTTACAACTTCCATTATCTTGTACTTACAGTTTGTAGAACAGGTAACAGCATATTCAGTGGATTGGTCAAATTAGTTCCCAGGATTATAAATCCAGAATCTATGCCAGCTGAATGTAATGCTTTATCCAAACTATAGCAATTACAATAATAAAATGTTACTTCATGGTTTTTAAAAACAAAAACAAAAAAAACTTCTGCATACAATTACTTTGTAGTTTCAATCTAAACTTAATGTCTTGCCTTTAACAAGACATTCTAAGTTTCATTCAAATCGAACATCTAACACTACTCTAATTTCATCTTTTCAATTGAAGATTCAAAATTCTACTATGCTCACTTGTTTACATGACTGTAAACTACCTCATGAACACAGATACCAAGGACAATCAGGAGTTTGAAATAAAACTGGCCATGTTGCCAGAACCCATTTTCTTTTGCTATAACCTCAGTTCCTCATTAGTAGAGAACTGCTACAGCAATGTCTCCAAGAATCCCAGAAAATAGAAAAAGTGACAGACCAACATCTTTTTATTCCAAGCTGTCTCTGCCCTTTCATGGGTTCTGCTGTGGTCCCAGCATATTTATTATTTTTATTTATTTATTTATTTATTTATTTTATACCACCCAAAGGCTCACAAGTCACACTCCTCATTCCATATATTTTTGACAATGGAAAATAATGTGCATTATGTCAGCAGCATCTATTTAAATGATTGAATCTCCTGTAAATTCCAGGTCATCTTTTCATAGGTAACAGCTGCCCCCTCACACGTATTCAGTATTTTTGTATCACTACATTGCCAGCAAGTCAGAAACAGCCTCCTAGAGTTCCCTTCAGCTACAAGAGTACAGTAGGGTATAGGCATTCAACATTTTATTCTTTCAACATCAGTTTCTGCTTATTTTGCACTGACAGTTTCACTTTAAAAAGGTAATTATGAATTAAGTCCTTGTTCAGAGCCCTACAAATTGCAATAGGAGAAAACTCCTAAATAGTTGAGTTCTGTATTTAAAGCATGTGTTTAATGTATACCTGCTCAGTCTGGGGGATGGGAAAAAGCAAGATAGTATAGCATCCTAAGTTAAACCAAAGCTAGCGTTACCTAAGGAATTGGCATGAATTTCACTTTGTAATTTGCATGATTTTATGCAGCAGTTTCTTAAAATATGAAGTATATACTTACTTTGACAAGAAGAGAGAAACTGTGAATAGCAGGGCCACAAGGATGAAAATTACTCCCCATATAATCTAAATAACAAATGATATTTAAAATCAGATTAGCAAATATCCCAAAGTTTCTTAGTCAAGGGTAACTTATGTACAATAATATTTTAACAGGATAACTACAATACATTTGTTGATCTTTCTCCTCACACTTTGCTAATAAAAACACCAGGGTATATTCATTTTACTTTTCAGGATCCACTACCATGGCCTCCAGTAATAGCAGAAGCTGTTCTTAATTCCACCCAGAATAAGGACAAGTAGAGTACAAAGTTAGAAAGATTATTTGGACAAGTGTGTAAATGTGATATTAGGCAAGCAAGTTAAACAGGAAAAAATGTGGTGCTGCTAAAAATCTCTGTTTAGCAAAGATGAAAGAGTTCTACATATGTAAACACACAACTTGTTCCTAAGTGACGCACAACTGAGCTTTGTAAACTTTTTTTTAATTCAAGAAGAGATGTATTAAAGGAATTTACACCTCTAAATTGACCTTCAAAATGAGGAAAAGGTAGGGTCAGGAGAAACAAAGCAACAAAAGCACATATTGGAAGTCAACCCCCATAGTAAGATTGTCTTGTTCAGTCGCAACCCCATGGACCACAGCATGCCAGGCTCTCCTGTCCTCCGCTATCAGCCAGAGTCTACACAACCCTATGTCCACCACACTAGTGACTCTATTCAGCCACCTCATCCTCGCCATCCCCTTCTCCTTCTGCCTTCAATTGTTCCCAGCATCAAGGTCTTTTCCAATGAGTCCTTTCTTCCCATTAGGTGGCCCAAATATTTGAACTTCAGCATCTGTCCTTCTAGAGAACAGTTGGAGTTGATTCCCTTTACAGATAAGGAAGCATAGCCTGGCTTGTTAACAATCCTGATTTTTTAAAAAACACATTTGCCTCTTGAGCAAAGACCACAAGATGGATAGATTGATTTAATTAAAAGATTAGTGTGTAATGAAATACCTATTTTCATGTTAATCTTTCAATGAAAGCTCTTAATGATGAAGAATATCCACGTTAGTAGGCAATATGCTTACTGCTATTCTCCAGTCTTTTCAAATCAGAAATCAAGATACCCATGTTAAAATAAAAACTGTGGATTATGAAGTATCTTTTGTTCTTCATATCTACTGATGATTATCACTACACAAAGATAATCTGTTTGGTTACATAATTCTAGCCAAAGGGAATTGTTCACAAGTAAACAAAGTACTAACATTCTTAGTTCTTGCTAACTTTTACAATCTTACATGTTGTTTAAAAAGCAAAAGCTGGCAAAATCTAGAATGTCACAGATATAGTGCATGTTAATGCATTTTTGGTCAGTTTGCTGTGTATAAAAGGAAAATAGCATAGGGAATAGTAACCAAGGTTTACTTCCATAAAAATATTTTACTGTACATACTTAACGTGCACAGCAGCCAGATATCCTGACTATGGAATGCACTCCCCAGAGAGGTCCACCTGGTGCCATCATTATATGTTGTTTGGTGCCAGGTTAAGACCTTTTTATTTAATTGATATTTTAATATGTTTTAATATCAAATTTTATTATTGTATTTTATTAATTTGCAGGCAGAGTGGGTCATCAATTTATTTATGGTGTTAGCCATCCAGAGACATTAGTAATTGGATGGCATACACATTTTATAAAAAAATAAATATTTCAACAAATGTGACTATGTTATTTCAGTGCAATTTGAAACAGGTTTCAAGTTTGTATCTGTATATGTTCTTTAACTAGAAAAGTCTATATTTTATTTTTTAATATAATAGGTTCTTTTAATTCTCACAGGGCCTTCTCTGCGGTGGCGCCCCGTCTATGGAATGCACTCCCCAGAGAGGTCTGCCCGGCGCCGTCATTATATGTTTTTCGGCACCAGGTTAAGACCTTTTTATTTAATCAATATTTTAATAAGTTTTAATATTGAATTTTATCATCATATTTTAACTGCAGCCAGAGTGGGTCATTAATTATTTATGTTATATTAGATATTTGTATTTTATTTGTGTAAGCCGTCCTGAGGCCCTTGCAAAGGACAGCATACAAATATCCTAAATAAATAAATAGTTCAGGTTAAAGAGAAAAAAACCTCGGGTTTGTGGCTTGGACTTTTCACAGAATTACATGGGCTTCTTGACTGTTATGCTAACATGATACTCAGGGATGGATCCAGCTTCTTTTCCAATGAACATTGCCTGAGTCTACCTCAGCTAAGAACATTCCTGCTAGTGGAAAGAGGGAGGGTCTATTCCACTATTCTGCTGCAGCTCCTAGTGAAACCTCAGCCAACATTCTGAAGGCTCTGTCAAACTTCTCAAGCAGATTTGGGGGGCCACAGGTGCTGTAGGAGAGGGTGAAGTCAACAGAGATCGCCTCCCCCCACAGCAGGATTCTACTGCTGGATCAGAAGGTTTGCACAAATGGAAGGACTCCTTCCATCTTCTTATTCAAACATTCCTGGGTTTGTTGTAAAGCTTTATACCAGAGGAGATTCTTGATGGACACAAGGTACATTCCAAACCTGTAAGAATCTACTAGTACATCACTGCATGCATCACAGGTTTCTATTAATACTTGCTGTAAAGAACAGCTTTGGTACTGCCAGTATCTTGGATCTGACCTCCAGACTAAAATACATGTAAGGGCTCTTGACAGCTATGCAGTGCCACAGAACCTGGCAGGCTATGCAATTTGAATTCAATCTCAGCGTTTCAAACAAAAAAGCAGGATATTGCAAGGTCATCTTCTGACTCTGGGCTGCATGTACCTTTATGTTTTTGATGTGAAGAGGTTATCTTCACAATGAAATAACTTTCTATGGTGGTAAATAGCCTAAATATGTTAAAAGGACTTTACAAAGCATGCATATTACAAAGCAGCAGTGTACTTGTGGCACTGATCAGGTGCAATCCTCTTTATGTAAGTTTAAAATCCCTGGTGTCTTGGGGTGAGGGTATTTCTTCCTTCTGCTGCATACCTTAATTTCTCCACACTCATGCCCTGGTGTTTTTCAAACACTAAATTCAATTTGTTCCTTATTTGTTCATCCTTCAAGTCTGTTCACACATTTCTCCAACTGTCTACTCATCTTAATTTGATCCACTATTTGTCCAATTTTATCAGTAACTTCAACCATAAATCTTACTCCTGTTTCCAAGTTAGTTTATATAGTTGCTAAATCGAATCTAACCCTGTGGCACTGCTCATCAGTCACTAGCTATACTCCTAAACATATTTCAAGAAGTCCTTATTTTCTAGTAAATCAACAAAACTTACTTCTAAGTAAGAATTACAAACTGGTGCATCATAGTTATCTAGTAGATTATATAGCCATTTTCCATGTCTTGATTTTACCACATTTCTGAACCACAATATCCTTTAAACTATAAAAGGAGCAGAAATACAGTGAAAAATAACTGAAATATTTATGTGTAATGAACTGGTATCAGACACAGACCTGATATGTCTGGACAGTACACTGCTTAGAAATCCAACTGCTGACAAAGAGGCATTTCTTTTAATGCTAACAGTATAATTACTGAACTTTCCTAACACTATTTTAACAATCTGATAGTCCACCTAGATAACAGCACATCCAATTTGCTTCAATTTGAGACCTCAGTGTAATGTTCTACAAAAATTATTTACAGACTTAGATGAACCTCAGTTAGACTAATCTGCCTTAGAACCTCTATTTTAAAAAGCTGCTCATCTTGTTTACACTTTGTTCTGAACATGTGTGATTGGGAAAGATTGTTACACATTGGTCAAACTGTTGCCCTCCAGATGCTTTAGACCAGTTCGTATCAATTCCAGCCAGCATGGCCAATGGTCAGAATGCTGGGAGATTATTTTGACCACAGTCAAAATTTTTAGCTACAGATTTGTTTGTTCATTCCTTCTCTTGTTTGGTGACATCACTCCAGTTCTGAAACTTCTGGCTCTAACCAATACTAAGATTTTATAAGATGCGGGAATGTATAAAACCTTTTCTACAGTACAAAATGCTAATGCCGTTACTTTGAGTGGTTTCATGACTCCACAGAACTTTGTCCAGCAACTTTTTTCAATGTATTCTAGACGCCGCCCCCTCCTTTGAAGAGTTCTTAGCTTGTCCTCTAGTTGATGCAGTGCACGACTATCTCGAGTTGGTAAAGGCCGACCATCTTTACACTAATTAGAGGAAAATATAAAAACAAAGGGGGCAAAGTTTAAAGTTTAGCATCATATTTTAAAAAACTAATTCAAAGCTATAACTCATACAGTCCTAATTACTTTAAATTACCATTTAAAGAAAGGTAAGTTCTACTCAGTGAATGATTAATTCTAGAAGGTACATTTAAAGAGATACCAATTTTCTAATTCAAAAACATCATGCTAGTTGCCAAGGAGAAAAAAATCTCAGAATTTTAAGGTGTCAACTTACTTTGGGTTGTAAGAGCCACACCAAAACTGTGTGCTCTTAGTGTATCTCCATATTTGTATATGGAATAAAATTATTGACTGACATACCATTAATAAACCAAAGAACTATACAGGAAAAGTGTTTAATGATTAGGATTAACTGCTACCAAGAAGACATAGTTGGGCTATTTTAGTCTCAGTCTTTCTAAGTTCCCACTTACATATTGCTATACATTTTAAATATTGTTCAAATACATTGTTTCTTATCCAAAATCTCTAAACAGGGACGACAGGCAACAGGAATAAAGCTCTTAAGGTGATTTAAAAAAACAAAAACCACATCAAACCTTTGATTTAATCCTTTGTATACTTTGCTCAACTTCCTCAATATCTTCAGTGTTTTCCAAGCGTTCATAGCTAGCACTTCTTGTCCCCTTTATTAAGTTTAGAGGCAAAGCTGACATGCCATAAGCCTGAAGAAAAAATGCAGGAACACATTAAGTGAACTGACAACTCTAAATGATTACCAAAAGAAACAATCAGTATGTTGGATCCTCGTTAGAAATGCCATGCAGCTCTTGTGCCATGTAACATTCTCAGTGCACTGCAATAAAACACATTATTACTTGGAGAAGTACAGGTGTTTGCACAAATCCCATCAATGGTAAAGCTTACTGAGTGGCTCAGGACTAATCATCCCCCCCCCACCCTATATTATTTCTTCTAATAGGGAACTTGGTGGCCCTCTGTAAAACGGTAAGATAGTGAAACAAGACCACCCACAAATAAGGAATACCCAGGATCAGGGGGAGAAGATGAGGACTTCTCAAGCACAAAAGTGAACCTGTTTAAAAGCCATACAAAGGGAAACATAATGTCCTGTGCATGCACAAGCCCCCCCCCCCCCACACCGCCACCACAAAGAAGTTCAATAATAGGGAATGGGGACAGAAAATTGCCTTAGGGCCACTTCTAGGAGAGAGAAGAAATAGCTCATCCCCATTTCTAAAAATGGAAAGACTGACTATAACTCAGTTCTGCCTCTTGCCTTTTACAAAACATGCAGGTTCCAAGTTGGCATAGAGCAGAAGTACAGAAAAACAAGACAGTCCTTATAATAGCAAACCCAGAGATTCCCTCTAGGTGATCCATGAAATAAAAAGTAAACTTACGCCAAACTGTATTATGCAATAAGGTTACAGGTGCCCTTTGTGTTTTCAGGAATTAAGATTAGCTATTGCTTCTCTGTCCAGAATACATTGCTAGGCGTAATGCCTACCAGAGGCTAATTCCTTCAATCTTTAAATCTACATTGTGAGGCTGGGTCTAAACTGCAGACTCTATAACTACAATAACCAGCCCAATTTGGGGCTTTTCTCTTTCTTCCTCATCCCCTGCTTTTTGTACAATCTAGCCTAATGAACATTTATGAAGAACTCAAAAGCTGTACAGTTTTGCTATGTCCTGCTCTGTCCAAAAGCTATTGCCCAGCAATGGATTTTGGATCCTTACTATGGGCAAGAATGGCTAGTTTCTTTTATATGCTATTCTGCAGAATTATTCAGAGTATAAAATATGCCTCCTGTATACCAATTGGATGATCAGGGAGGAGGTATGATACAAGTTTGATACATACGAGGCTTATGCGAATGGGGCGGCATAAAGTTTCCCAAATAAATAAATAAATTGCAGTAATATAAAAGTTGAGCCAATTTACAAGCACTTATACTGCAAAGAGCATGCCCTATGCAAGAGTACTGAAGACTAGATTGCTTTACTACAACAGTAATGGTAAGTATAATATTCCATTATTTTAGGACTTTAATTT